CAGCCTTGTATGCCACCTGCTATAGATTGTGATACAATATACAGTATTTTCAATAAGGGGAAAACTGGGGGGAGAAGCTCTATTTTCAGATTTTTCAGACCATATTTTTTTTAATGGCATATGGGAAACTGGCTGTTTCTGGGGTGGAGTGGATGGCACATGGGGGCAGCCCCCAGTGGCGTGCCCTTGCTCCCTTGCTGGGCACATTCTGCCTTCCTGGGCGAGTGGGGGGGGACAAACCAGCTCGAGGCTTGCCCTTTGCCATCAGGGAGAGGGCATGGTGTCATCTTTGAGTCCCCAGCTGTCGCTTCAGTGGTGGCACCCTGGGGCACACTGGGCAGCAGTGCTGCAGTGCTCTGGGCTTTGTCCTCACCCCACAGCTGCCACACTGCCCTGTTGCTCAGGACTCTGGAAGGGCACTGGGACTCCATTCACAGTGTCTCCCCTTTTCTCAGCCCTCCCCACCACCACCATGCCATTGTCCCTATGGCTTTGATGGTCAGTGGACATGCTCTGGTGCCCATACAGCCTGGATGGCCACGGTGGTCTCCCTGCCCTGGGCTCAGGGCTGCCTGGGCACAGATGCTGCTGGGGCCACCCCAAAGGTGGCAGCAGGGAGGGAGCAGGAGCGTAGTGCCCCAGGGCATGTCCCCAGGGCAGGGGTGGCTGCTGCCTTAACACTGTTCACTTGGTTGAGTTTGGCCCTACTTCCAGCCTTGCCTCCCCCTGCACGTCCTTGGCCACCAGCCATGGGTGCAGCGCCAGTGCCACGCTCAGCCCCAGGCATGGGGCCTCTGAGGGGCGGGGAAGTCTTGGAGCTGCCTGTACATTGCTAGCAAACAAAAAAAAAAGATGAAATGTGAAAATACTGATCATTTTAAATAAAAAATAATAACTGGATCCAGTGAGGCTGTGTGGTTGGTGATGGGTGGGAAGGTCAGGTCTGGGTGCCTGGGAGGGATCAGGCTGAGGAGGGGGTTGGCAGTGCCCAGGGTGGGGGTGCGGGAGTCTGCTGTGGGCAAAGGGTCCTGGGCCCAACATAGGGGTGTGCCCAGTGC